AAGTTCTTGGTTAATGTCTGTTGCTTCTAATTCTGTTTCCTTTACTGTTCACTCTTTGTGTCCTTTGGTGCCAACCCCAATAAGTCTTCCTTTATGGTTTCTTTCAAGATCTTAAATCAATATCAAAATCGAGACTTTGAACTTAAACCTCTTTGTTAGAAATATTTTTAGCTCAGTTCCTTGATTATACTGTAGTTGATCCTTGTTCATTGTGTGTGTGTGCGTGTGCGTGTGCCTACCTTGGTAAGGTTATCCAGTTGGAAAGTGTGATATACTAGAGTATAGAGTATGGTTCTTTATGGATTTTCCATTGATGAATGGATACTTCTTAGCTATCATGAAATTTTCATGAAGCTTTTGATTTGGTTATTGATTACAAAAAATGTCATTAGCCACACTCCAGCCAAGAGGATCTTTCAATATGTAGTATGTATATATATATTATATATTATAACCTATAATATATATATATATATATATATATATATTATGAAATTGAATTTCATTATAATACATTATATATAATATATTAATATATAAATATATAGCATATTATATATTATATGTTATTTATTGTATATAACATATTACATATTATATAATGAATTTTGGTTAATTCAGCTTTTTTGGTTAACCGAACTTCTAACTCTGAAAACCGAAACTAAAAACTGAAATTCCTAAAAACCAAACTAACTGAACCGAATTACTCAAAAACCGAAAAAATGAAACCAAAATTTTTGGTTCGGTATTTCGGTTTTAATCAAATAATGCTCACCCCTATCAGCACTCTCTCTTTGCATTCATTCCCCTTCCCATTGGGTTCTCTTTCTCCCCTTACAACTCACGTTTGTCACTTTCTATAACAACCTAACTTCTCTCTTTAATTAGCTTAATATATGTTTTATCCACTCCTTCACTTCTATTTCTAATTCCCCTTTATTCTCTCCACTTTCCCACAAAAATAGGGCCATAATTTATTAAGATTTGGTTTTCCAAATCAAATAATGTTTATATCTATAGACCTGATTTCAATCAAATTAAAGAGGGGAATAAGGGGAATTCGATGTTTCCTATATATTCATGGCATTTTCCATTATTGTTAAATAATCTATTCTTAAATAATAATCTATTGTTAAATAATACATTAGTTATAAAAGTTTCTGAAAAATATTTTACCAAAAATTATGAAATAATTATTTCAGAAATAATCCATTATTTAGTAAATATTAAATAATTTAATAATCTACCAAAAATTAATAAAGAATCCATTATTTAATAATTTTTGGTTATTAATAAATGTTCAAAATTTCAATGTTTATCGTAATTTACATTAACCATAGTAATTTAATAAATTTTCATTAAATTTTTACAATAATAATTTATTGATAAAAGATATTACTAATTAGCGTAATTTATTAATTTCTATAAAATCAATAAATATAGTTAAAAATTATCAAATAATTTAGGTAAACACTTTAACTAATAATCCCTAATTATTTTTTAAATAAGTAATTAAAAAAATTAAGAAATTAATGTATGGAAAAAATTCTCAAAACTATTTAAATAATAATCCATTATGATTATTCAATGAAACAATTATTAAAAACTTTAGGAAAATTAAATTAAGAAATTAATCTATTAGAAATTGTTTCATATTTATTTAAATAACAATCCATTATTATTATTATTTCAATAAATAATTATTAAATAATTTAGGAAAATTATTAAGTCTATCCACACCAATCTAGACCACTTGGTTGACTTTGATCATAATTGGTTTTACATTAATTAACACCAAATGGTTTACTTTTAATTAAAAATGATGTAATTTACCATAATTACATTAATTTACTATAATTACATTTACTTTGTTTAATAGTAAATAATTTGCATTAATTTATTGTTGTTGTAAATAATTAATTTACTCTAAATTACTACTAATCAATAGCAATTTCAATAATTTTTTGAAAATTATTATAAAATTATAATTTATTGTTATTTAATTTACTAATAGTTAATTAGTTATAGAAAATTATTAGAATTGTAAGGATGACAATTTTCATATAAAACTGGGGCCCTACCATGCCCCGCCCTGATAGGGGCAAGCTTTGTCAAATCTTGAATAGGGACAGGCACAGATGGGGTGGGGATAGGGAAAATATTTTTACTCCAAATTAGGGATGGTGTTTGCATATAATTCCTCGAACATGATAGTAAATTAGTAAAATATCAATAGATTTAATGTTGATTTTTAAAGTATCTCCAAAGTTTCCTCATATTCTTATAATCTTAGGATCCCATAGCTTCATTTATAAAATATCTCAAAATTGTCATAATCCAATTCCTAAAATACACCAAAATTCCTATAATCCTATTTGCAAAATATMCATAAATTAGATTCTTTTTCGATGGCTGCCTTAGGGTGGGGAAAATTTGAGGATTCTCCATCCCCGATGGGAAATGGGTGCCTCGCCCCAAACTTGCACCACCACTAGTTTGGGCGGGGATGGAGTAGGGTGTCTTTACTTATGGGGTTGAGGAACAAGGAGGGGTGCTCCATCCCATGCATCACATGGGATCCCACTAGTTTTTATAATACCAATTGATTGATTATAAATTTTCCGGTATCATATCTTTTGGATATCATAGTTGAAAAAAAGTAAATTAATATATTTAGAGAAATATAATTAAGATATTTTAAAATTAAATATCACTTGTATTTTTCTCAACATGGTTGTTCAAATATTTTAATCTTTAAATCTAATCATTTCAAATAAATATAAAAATGCATTAAAGAATATTTTTTTTTCTATTTTAGAAAATGGTGATTGGTCAAAACATATACTTAAATTTTTAAATATAATGTTTGACCTTGAATTTTGAAATTTAAGAAAAAAAAAACTATAATAGAAAAAGTAAAACCCATTTATCTTTTCATATTTTTATTGTTAACTATAATGCATTGAAACCATAAACCCAAAATAAGGCCCAAACCTAAAACCAATCCGGATCTCTGAACTTTCGTTGTGAAAAGTATCCCCCTTAGGAATTTTTCAGTAAGGTTTTAGTATGATACTAGAAGGACATGATGTCCAGAAAAACGATTGATGATGCCCGGAAAAACTTATGACCAAGTAACCGGTATCAAAAATTATTGATGATGCCCAAAAAATCTGAAATTACACCAAATAACCCGTGGATTTAACATCAATCCAGGGTCAGGATACATCCCACTTGTACGGTTTCCCAAGACTTCTGAAACGTGGAAAGGTCGTACAGATACAATCAGGTCGTTAACGGTCAAATCAGATAAGCGTGGAGGAAACTATAGATGTGCAAGGGGATATATTCTGGGCAAATGAGTAAATGTATACCTTAATATACATGCGATTAATCGTCTTTGAGACTGATTGGCTCATGACACATGCCCAAGATCTTAAGACACTTGTTTTTTCAATGTATTGAGAAATAATGTCACATTGGCGTGGACGTTTATTATATATGAAACTACTTTGGTTTCCACCATTTATTAAAAAATTAAAACACTTTGATTTTTTATGTATGGAGCATTTGGAAAAATGTCAAATTTCCGTTTCTTCTAATAAATAAAATGCTTATATTACACAATTTTACGAGTGTTAAGAAAGCAATAAATGATTCATCTATAAATGCCGAATCAAACATATACCTAATGTACATGGTTTAATGTTGGACCCCACTATTAGTTTTGGTTGGTTACGTGGGCTGCGGTGTTACTTGGGTGGTATTTCTATCACTGCTGCTTGTCCTTTTCGACCCAATGCCTTTCTCACTGGTCGTGTTAATTAAATAGGAATTGGGATCTGCTCTTAACACCCACCCAATGCCTTTTAGATTTATGTGGTGACTAGGAAAAAATTATTTTTCTGGATATGGGTAAATGACCTTTCCACCCAGGGAAAAAATTGTTAACATTTGAATGGGACAAAAATGTTTCTTTTAATAATAGATTTTTATGACTAAAATGACATTATCTTATTTATTTAGGAAATAAAAGAATATTGGTAAATGCACTTACTCGATAAGTTACCAAGGTAATTACATTTACTGGGATAAATAATTTATCAAAATCSAATGGGGCCTTAATGGTACCATGCCTTTCTGTCATCATAGATGAGATAATGAAAAGTGCAATAGCCTCGAGTTGGGAATTTGCTACATTACTTGCTCCGCAATTATCCTACACTTTGGTTAATATGTAATGCCATGGGCGTTTAAGCATCAATTATATTTGAAAATTCGAGGCCCAAACTGATCATCTTGGATTAGGATGATGCATTTATGTATTAGATTGAATTCAGATGTTACAATATACATCTAATTAATAATTGGATCAGATTCGGATTTAAGGAAATCTGTTTCGATTAAAATTCGAATCAAATTATATTATAATATTTATTGATTTTAATATATAAATTTTATATAATTATATTTAAAAGTATAAAAATATAATTTATATATATAATAAATTTAGTATGTTATATTTATATTAATTTAATATATATAAAAGTTAAAAAATAATCAAATTTCTTTTAGTATTTTAAAAATGTCTTTTAAAATATGGATTCAGATCCAAAAAATCCGATCGAACTCAGATGCAAATGTAAAATTTTAGGATCAGACTCGAATTTTGCTAAATTTGATTCGAATCCAATTACAGCCCTARTTACATTACACCTGTCTGATTATCCATGCATATTACATCATACCTGTAATGAAACACTTGTCACATTCTTAATGAAAGTGCAAGGAAAAAACTGCAGTAAGTCCGGATTCGTAACGATTAACAAACTCCCGCCTCACCTCTCGGCTCTGCTGGTCTATTTACCATTTCCTTATGCTTAATTAGTGCTTGTACGTGCATGCGCCAGCTCCTTCCCTTATCCCTCCCTCGCTGTCCTCCCCTTGGACGGCGAGCGGTCACCAGTCACCACCACCCCCACCAGAAACCACACCTAGCCATGTCTCTCGCTAACCCCGTCCATCCTCTTGTCCCCTCCCTTCACCTTGAGATCAATGTCATCTCCGCCCTGGACCTGGCTCCTGTAACCTCTGCAATGCGCACCTACGCCGTTGCTTGCCTGGATCGTGAACGCAAATGCAAACAATCCACTCGCATCGCTCTCATTGGCCACACCAATCCCACATGGAATGCCAAGTTTATCTTCCCCGTTGACGAAGACTTTCTCAAATCCTACACCTCTTCTGTCATCATAGAGATATATGCTCTTCGCTATTTATTCCGCAACGTTCTCGTCGGAACTGTCCACGTCTTGGTCAGCAATTTCATCCATCCATCATCCCTGCAACCTCATGATCGCGACTACGGCCAATTGGTCTGTCTCCAGGTCCGTCGTCCGTCAGATCGCCCACAGGGTTTGCTCAATATCAGTGTAGCACTCCTCGACAACTCCGTGAGAATCATGCCGCTTTGCAACCAACCCAGTACCACCACCGTTGGATATTCTGATCTCATGGGTAAAAAGATGCATACCCCACATCACCGTAGCTACACTCCCAAAAAGGTCCAACCCCGCAGCTCCAAAAGCAAACGATCGGTCGAATCCGACAAGGACGATTTATCCTCTGGCTGGAGTGGGTCTACGACAATAACGAACTCGAGCCATTTGAAATCGGATACGGGTCGGACATATTCGACTTTTACTTCCACAGAGGCAGCTATCACGGAGGATTATTTTGCGGAGGAGGAGATTGGAAGTTCTGTGCTAGAACGTTGGAGCGTAGACGAAGAAAACGACGAAGGTACCAAACATGCGCGAAGGCACACCGACGGAAGAGGAGTTTTTTCGTGCTTCGGTGGATCATTTGGGTGTCAGTGCAACGTCTATTGTGGGGCCAGACCTAACGAGGAGAAGAGAGTCAGTCGGAGGGCCCACCTTAACCCKTCTGATTCTTAAGTAAGTCGGTGGTAGACAATGCAACCGACTGATACCTGTCGATTGTTGATACTCTTGCTACCGTCCGCCAATGGCCAGTCTTATGGATGATTCTTATTTCTTGGGTGGTCTGAGAATGACGCCGGCGGTTGCTCCTGTTGCGCTTGCGGTCGATCTGGAGTGGGTGAGTTATTGGATGATGGATCATACCCTTATGCCCGTCAGATCGATGCAACATTAGGACGTGGGGTTGGAAGATACAAATCTAATGGCGGTTAGAACCTCTTTCTTTCTCTCCTTCTTTCTTTTTCTTTTCAATTTCATAGAAGGAAAGCGAAAGAATTGGGGGAAAGATGTGTTTCAGGTGGTGTTTTTTTTTTTCCCGCTTAAGAAATAGAAAATTTGCATTCAATAAGTTTATGCTTGGTTTAAAGAAAAAAAAGGTAGGGAAACGAAGGGTTAATCTATACAAACCTTCTATTGGTTTAAATCAAACGTAGTTTAAATTGATAATACAACGAGGAGGATTATTATTTTGAAAACCGGATCAGACCGGACGGTCAAATCGTAAAAACCGCCGAGTAGCAACACACGTTTAATAAAATGTTTGTTATTTAACTTTTCAAAAGACCATTTATAGATAGGAGATCGAGAGATAGGGGAGGGATTGAAATGAGATCGCAGATTTGAAATCATTATTGAGAGAGAGAGATCTGTGAGATTTGACATCAGATGTATAGTCCCCGTCATCATCATCGCCAGTGAACCACCGCCTCCTCCTCCTCCCCACCTACTTCTCTCTTTTCTTATATGAAACACACACACATTGCGTCAACAGTTCGATTCGTACGGTCAAATCGCTAACCAAAAACCAGTGGTCAAAACGGTTTTATTTCTGGGTCCATTTTTAATACCTTGCTCCTTTTAAACATTTAGAAAATCATTCAAAGAGACAAACTTTGCCACATTGTGTGGTGTAAGATATGTTAGGTGCGTTCTACAATGTGAATTGTTTTTTCTATGGTTTAGAAAATGAATCAAAATCATTTGGTAAGGATGTAATTGAGCTGAGTAGAGCCGAACTTTGGCATGCTTTGACTTTATTCTGAGGTTCGAGTTTTAGTTTGAGCTCAATTTGAATTCTATTTTTGGTTTGAACTTGGTTTGTCTAAATATTTAATAAGGTCAAGTTCATCTTGAAAGATTGAAAATGAATATAATTTTATATTCTATAAAAGTAATATATATAAATCGAGATAGGCTCATGAGCTTTTGAGTCAAACTTTTTATTAATCAAAGTTAGGCTCTGTTTGTTCGTATGCGGTGTAAATACCAGACATGTGTTATATTACACTCCGATCCAATTTTGTAGCCATTTGGATGGAGTGTAATTAAACAACGAAGAATGATGTAAAACTCCACTCACATCGAGTTTTACATTGATAATCGATGTAAACATTTATATTGATAATCCCGGCTTCTATTTACATCCCGAGTAATTTTTAAACCAATTGGTGTATAACTCCAACAGTGTAAAAGTACATTTACACCCATTCAAACACAACCTTAAGTTCAAATAACCAATTGTGCTTAGCCTAAGATTTGAACTTGATTAGAATCGAACTTGAATAAAGCCTAATCAAACTTGAGCCCAAGCTAATTTATTGAAGTTCAATCATCCCTATAATCTAGTTTGAAAATAGATTGTTTCTTAAAACAAAAACATAAAAAATGTGTTCTTGGTTGTGTATGTATATTTTTGTTTTCAAAACTGAAACAAAAAAACGTTCCAGAATTTTTGGTTGTTTTCATCTGGCTATTTATATCATATTCCATAAATCAAATAATTTATACACTACAAAATTTGTCTTTATTTGAAAACTATTATTTTTATGGTTTTAAAAACATGTATTGTTTTTTGAAACAAAGTCAGCTTATTTTTCCTTTAAGAAAATAGAGTTGAAGATCATGTTTTTTCTTTTCTTCTATGTTGAAATTTCAAAAAGAACAAACACAAAAACATTCATGTTATAGAACTCTCCCTAACATGCCTAGGGACAAATTGAAGTGTTATTGAGTTACACTTGACAACCTCATGGAACAATTGTGAATAATGGTCTTCAAAGTTAAAAAGAGAGGGACATTTCACCATGAATCCTTCACTAAATCAATCACTACCTCGGAGTCACCCAACATTGAGACTATACTCCCTCCATGGCATCTCAAATCCACATCTAGCACTAAATACAGGTTCCAAGCCTCAACAACCAAAGGGTACACCACATGCACCTTCAAACCTTGTTCCTCCACAAACTCTTATGTATTCTTAATTTCCACACAAGTGGACACACCTCCCTCCTTTCTAATAGACCTGTTCATGGGCTGGGCCAGGCCGGGTTCAGGCCGGACTTTGCCTCTTTATAAACAGAAAATTATTAGGCCCAAGCCCGGCTCTATATAAAGCCTGAAGCCTTGGCCCAAGCCTGAAGCCCGACTTTGATAGGTATTTTATAACATATTAATTATATATTATATAATGTTTTATACATTTAATATATGTAATACTTTTTTTGCTATTAATTTTATTACTATATAATATATAATTGTATTATTAATAGTAACATATATATTATATTTCTGTTATATATTTAATATTATCCGACTGGGCTTATTTAAGAAAGCCCGATCCCGAGCCTGCAGGCTTAAAATTTTGTCTAAGCCCGATTTAAGATGGATTGGGCTGAGCTAGCCCATTGGGCTACTCGACCCATGAACAGGTATACTTTCTAATCACACCATCAAAGAAGATAATCAGACCCCCAATATCTCAATGCAGGACCACTTGTGCTTATCCAAATTGATAAAGAAGAAGAGTTATTGTTAGAAAATAAAAATCTATTTAGCAATCTCACCTAATAGCTTACGCATTTATGTTGAACAGTTACTTGGCATGGTATCAAAGCCTGTTTGACTAAATGGGCATGATATCAAGTGCTTGATTATTGCCACCCTTATTATAATTAATTAATTTTTAGCATAAGGTATATGAGTGGACCTATGCTTGTGTACACTTTAATCCCAATAGGCTTTTGTGTGAGAGGGTATGTGAGAGAATAAAAATCTATTCAATGAATTCACCTAACAACTTAAGCTTTTAATGAATTCACCTAACAGCTTAAACTTTTAGGTTGAACGGTTCCTTAACAATTACTATCTCGTGCCTCCACCTCTATTTCAGCCACTCCATAAACCAACCACAACTCACCACTAGACCTGTTCATGGGCCGGGCCGGGCCGGGCTCGAGCCAGGCTTTTACTGTGTATTAACAAATTTTTTTAAGGCCTGAGCCCGAGCCCGGCCCTACAATTTGGGCCCGAGCCCGGCCCTCATAAAAAGCCCGAAGCCCGAGCCTGGGCCCGGGCCTGAAATTTAGCCTATATTATTATTATTATTAATGTTAAAGCAACTGAATAAAGAGAGAGATAGATTGAAATTATAAAGAAAAGAATAAAAAATATATATATATATATATATATTAAATTATAAATATATATTTTAATAAATACTATATTATTTATATATTTTATATAATATATAAAATACATATTATATATTTTATAAAATATATAATACTGAGTTGGGCCGGGCCGGGCTCGG